ATTATAAAAAAAAAAAAACAATTGGATCTTTCCAGTGCTCCAGCCTGGAACTGATGCCACACATTTCTCCCGCTGAGAAAGTAAAAACATCTGTAAATCTGTTATTTTGCACTTTTCATTTCAACACAAAACACAGTTCTAAAAGTAATTCACATCAAAATCCAAGAATCCTGAAAGCGTGAGCTGGAAATGTCAGTGCGAACTGAAGCACTCCCAAAATGCAAATAAGGGGGGTCAATCAGTCCCCCTGCTGTGAAACAAAACTTGTAACCAAAACGGAGACACCTCTGTCCCACAGAAGCACATTTTAACAGAAAGTTAGTAATACAACATCCAGCAAAAACATTTAACGACATTTCAATACACAATCTCATTAACCATCCACCAACACAAAAATCACAAGACAACCGCATAACACGTAGTGAAACACAAATCACTTCCGCACAATCTCAGCACAATTTAAACACAGACAGACGAATAGACAGCAGCGCGTGTTGGAACATACAGTATAACGGGGGAAGACAGACACACAGCCATAGATCAACCCGCAGCCAAGCACGCACACAAACACAAAGAAACTTACAAAACACAGAGACATAGACGTCATATTTCAGTCAAGAAAAGACAGAAAAGAAAAGAAAATGTCAGGTGCCGGCTAAAAGAATGTATGAGGCATCTTTTAATTTTCCAATTTCACTTTTACAAATCCCTTTTATTCTCATTTCAACTTCTCAGTCCTTCAAGGTGATCCAACCTGCTCTCAGTCCTTCAAGGTGATCCAACCTGCTCTCAGTCCTTTAAGGTGATTCAACCTGCTAAATTTAGTATTCTCAGTCCTTTATGCTCTTTAGCAACTCGCTTCAGAGTCCCAGAGAAGGCGATACATCCTGTAACAGACTTCTACTTACGGCGACTCTCAGCCCTTTTCTTTCAACGAGTGATACAACGCGGTCCAATTAACCTGCTATTAGTCCTTATTCCATGAGTGATACAACTCGATCCAATTAACCCAAATAATTATAAGTCCACTGGAGATGAGTCGAAATCTCCGGGCTGATACAAGCCCCTGCTAATTAATACACAGACACCCGAAATTCTTTTTAGAGGCACAGGCATTGTTCCTCAGGGTTAAAGAATAAATTAATTTTTATTAATTAATCAATTAATTAATTAATCAATTAATAAAACCTTCTTTTAAAAAACCCAGCTTAAGTCAGAGTTAACGTAAAGGCTCTGTTTGAACTAGCCACAGTTCCCTGTAATGTGTATTTATTCAAATCCTTAAACAACCGACTCTTTTAGGAGGGATTCTATCTACCTCTGCAGCTTCTGAATTCTGTGAGGCCGCACACAGCAAATCAGCCCCGGTCCGACCACACGGCGCTTCAGACAACTGAAAAATAAAAAATAATCAAATACTGTCTTACCACACCGAAGTCGGGCCGAAACGGATCAATCAGGACCAAACAGCCGCCCGCCGAGACTCCAGAACCGGCACGAGCCCCCAATTGTTAAGGAAGAAAATATTCTAACATAGTTAACTTTGGAGAAAGGTTGGCTTTTCATTCTTCCCTTCCCAGGTCCACTCGGCGAGCTGCGTTTGGTAATAAAAACCAACATTGCGTTTTGACGTCACAGAATTACAGAGTTTAATCCAATATAAGACAATGCATAAACTTAGAAACAAGACAATGCACAAACCTACACCAGAAACTGCAGAACAACAGAGACATACATTCCATTACCTGACATAGAAGGAAAGAAAAGGAAGCAAAGACGTACAAAGACATCTTTGGAGAGTTGCAAGAATGTTGCAAATCTGATTTGTTAGTTCTATGTAGAAAGCTTTATCCTCTTGTATTTAATTTATTCACATAAGGCTGGCCCTTGGTCCTCCAACCAGAAGCCATCTCTGACACTGCCTAGAGCTTCACCTAATTTACTGCAATCATCTGGGGTCATTTGCTTCTTTGTTTTAACAAGAAAAAGCGGAAAGCTTGTCCTGGCTTCTAGAATTCTTAAAGTCATAAAACACAAGATAAGCTTTCACAGACAGCTTGTGGAATGCGGGGGGCCTCACCATAAATTCTCAGGAACAAACTTAAATTTAGTAATCTGGTTCAAGGAAAGGTTATCTTCACAAACTTGTTCAAAATAAGAAATGTGTTCACAAGGAGAGTATACAACATACCTTTTACACATGCCATAAGATTAACTGTATTAAAGACTAAAAATAATCATTTTTCTTTAACACAACACACACGCCTAAAAAAAAAAATCACCAACTACCCGCCCGCACTAAAAAAATATCCGCCCTTTTATTTTTATTTATGTATTTTTCACCCGCAAAAGAGCATGTTAGCGGGTGACCCGTCCGGGACCCGCGGGTACCCGACCCCTTGCAGGACTCTAGTACAGACAGCCCACTGCTCAAGTACTCCTCCAGTCATGAACAAACGAGCCGCAGGTGTGCAGGGAGGACCAACGAGGAAAGGGCGCCACCTGTTGGTGGAGAGAGAAGGGACATACAAACAACCCACACAAACTGGATTCCTAACAGAATGGAGTTTAAAGGCTGAAGTAGACAGAAGTAGTCAGATGTCAGATCCTTCGCTGAATTTCATTCAATGTCTGAGATTTTTCACTTTTGTTGAGCAACAAGACAGAAATTGAAAGGTTTTCATTTCTAGGACGGTGATTTGTAGAAGAATTTTTGCCTCTGACTTTGTCTGTTTCCATGGTAACTATTCCTCTGATTAATGCCCAGGAAAGATCTACACGATTTAAGAAAAACATGTTTAACATACAGTTCAGTGACAAATGACAACAACTTGGAATTAGTTTGACAAAGTAGAGTTTTCTAACAGATGTAAACCTGGTCATCTCCTGATCTATTGAGGAAGGTCTCTTCCTGCCTTCCAACCTGAGTTTTCTGCTGCTGTCCCTGAGCAAAGTTCTGACTGAGCTCTGTTATCAGATTGCAATAAAAACCAATCAAATAACTCTATAAAAGGTCCATTAAAATACTTGAAAATGAAGCCGCAGTCTTTGCACACATGTGCCCTTCTAGAGAAATATAGACTCCTACATTTAGAAAATCTCAAGATATTTAGATATTGTTGGCTAAAATTTAGGGTATTAAATGGCTCTGCCATTTAAATGCTCTCACCACCCTTGGAAGAATTTATTAAAAAAATTATTTGTGAAGGATGAGAAGTATAAGAAGGGAGGACTGAGAGATCCAGTTCAGGAAATGCACCTTTGCACAGAACATTCTCTCAGTCAAGGGAAGCATGACTTAGAATGCATTGCCGTCAGCACTCAGGGAATCTGGTGCTAAGCACTTTAGCATGATCTACCTCATTATTGGAAATACCTTAAGACATTAGCCTAACTCAGGTATGCAGTCCTGTTCACTGTGTGTTATGTCATCTGTGGGTATTGCAATGTAATTCCTCTGAAACTGTTCATTGTTTTTATGATTTTTGTGTGTATTTTGTCCTTGTTACATGTATATAATCAGTGGTCTGTATTTATTGTTACACCTTATTTTTCTCCTTGTACCTGCTGCCCCCATCCTATGGGACTATGGATGGAAACTAGCCTTGAGCTACATGCAAGTGTATTTACAGCTCCTGCTGTTCATTAATACATGCTGTTCTTTTCAAATCCTAAAACAGAAAGAAATAAATGAATAAATTCAATGCAGCTCCTCCCATTCTCACGCTGAGACTTTCATTCTGATAAACAAATATAATAAAGACAGTTCACAAGGAAAATAAAGAAAATCCATGGAAAAAGGAAGCATAAAGTCAGAATGTAACACAAAAGCATTTCTAAGGGTTTCAGATCAGCTGCAATCTTTGCCAAAGTCCTCTAGCATAACATGAATGCTTTAGGGGATTCTCCCAGAGAGACTTATCTAATTTTTATATCAATGGTTTCCAACTAAGGGCTGTTTCTCTAAAGCAGGATTCAGAAATCAAGGATCAGACATAAAGCTAGGTTTGACATGGCGCCATCAGTTCATCCTGGCTTTCTCTGTTTCTCAAAGGCTAAACCAGGATCAGGAGATGTGGCTATGTGAAGCCATGCTTAATTAACCCAGGTAAATGTGCGTCCACAGTAGTGTTAATTTTACCAGCCATTTTTAAATTTAGTTTTAGTCCAGTTTCAGCATCGTTTGTTAGTTTTTAATCACAGTTAGTCGACATCATCCCATTTTTATTTAGTCTATTTTAGTCGACCATAAGTCAGAGCATTTTAGTCTTTATCTTAGTCCAAGAAAACATAATTTTATTAGTTTAGTTTTAGTCAACAAAAACTGTCAACATTTTAGTCTAGTTTTAGTCAGGACATAATTTTAACCTTTTACTTTTTTGTCAGCAGACAATCTTTAACATTTCCTGAAATTATTTCACATTTCAACATGATAAAAAAACACAATTTTAAGGAACACATGCAGACATGGAAGATGTTCTGACAATATTTGCATATTTATTTTGAACATTGTTTAGGTTCAAAGACACAAACACAAATGCTTGCATTAAAACAATTAAAATACACCCGACAGAGGAAACAAATAAATAAAATAAAGTGTCTTATGAACTCAACACAAGTGCTGGCTGTTTAAAGCTAGTTCACATAGAATAATAAAATAAATAGATTTGAGTTCAATGTTGTTAAAAAAAACTCCAACTGATACAACAAAGTGCTTTCCTGCCAGCTACAAACAAAAGAAAACTAACAGAGAGAAGAAGTGTTCTAGTTGCTTCCTTTGGAAATAATGGGACACTGGTGCTGCGTCAAAGGATGCAATAGTAATTCTAAACAGAAAACAGCAGATGGGGCCTTACGGTTTTTTGTATTCCCCACTTGGAAAAGAAAATACGGACCGCAGACAGAGGACTTAATAAAGAGGCGTCGGGCTGCATAGGTTGCTGCTGTAAGAAGGAAAGACATCACGTTTCATAAAATATCCCCTCATGTTCGTGTTTGCTCTCGGCATTTTCACAAAGGTAAGTCCTTATAAATATACACTAATAAAAATCAACATGCTGAAATGGTTTGCTTATGAAGTTGCAGGAGTTCATGTGAACGTGATGTGTGTTTTTTTTATTTCTTTTTTAGACCGCTAAAATTTAATAAATAATGCATTCTCTGTATATAATCACAATCTGCAATACAAATATTTATTTTTAATGAATAAATATATATAAATACACTGTACATATAAAAACACTGTACATACCCACTCGTCAGCCAACTCACTGTGTTTATTCATCCTGTGCAATCTACTTAAGTTTATTTATTATAATCCTTTGTTCGTCTGTAAGCTTTTCAGTTTATTTATTTACCTCCGGCCTTGCTAGTCCGATGTACTTGTGCTGTTTCGGTATAGCAAATTTCCCCACTGTGGGAAACATAAGGTTATCTTATTTTATTACACATCTAATCTAATGGGCTCTGTTATTAAGGTGCTTTATATAGTGTTTTGAATAGATGTGTAAAACACTCAACCTTTCATCTACTTTGCAGGTCAACCCGCATATGAGATGATGGAGACTGACCCAGACTGGGCTCCATCCCTGCATCTGGGCCACACTGACATCAGACCAACAGACACAGACCGCTCTTTAAGACGTGGTTATCGGGAACAGCTGAAAAAGAATGCCCTGCAAGCAACTGAAACGGGGCTCCATCAGGCTGATGAAATCCTTCAGCGACAGGATGAAGTTACACATGAGGCGACCATAGGCGGATCTACTGGGGTGGCATAGGGTGGCAAATGCCACCCTAAATGACAGCCTTGCCACCCCAGCTGCCACCCCAGTTGGCGGTAGGGGTGGCGAGGCTTATAAATTATGGATCATTTGAGAATTACGACCGCTAATTTCCAATGTCAGACTGCAGTGAATGCAGCACGAGATGACACGAGAGTGACTGAGACTGATTTGTTTTGAAAACCGAATGGGGCAAAGCGAGGGAGCCAGGGGTGATGGGGAGAGAAGACACGGGATGAAACAGGTAAAAATTGATTAACTATCTATCGAGAAATGAAATTGTTGTGGGAAAATTTAAATCTCTCTCTCATTATATATTAATATTCATATTTACTCACTATAAAAGTTTTCACTCAGTCTGTTTCTCTCTCAAGGCCACACCATTCCCTGCAGAATGTTGTTTGTAGACCAGACATAGCTTCTTCCCATAACAATCTAGATTCTTTCTCAAGGTTTATTCATAACATGTTACTGTTAAGCAAAGTGTGTGTAATTTGTTATGACTGTGACTGCTTTTCCATTGTTGTAACTAGGGGGGACGAACGCTGCCCAGATCAGAACAGAGCAGAATGCTGTGCCATGATGACTGTTCTCTCTTTGCAAAGATCGTTAATAAATGTGCCGACTGGGTGAAATCCATCGATCTCCGTTTATTTAACTAGGATGAATAGTTGAATACTTTTTTCCCACGACAATTTGGCGTTGTCAAGGCAGTTCTCTTTGACTGATTTTTTCTGAGGACAGCGATTGTCAGAAGTGTCAGGTACCACCTGGAGGAAGCAATCTTCCAGCCTCAATACCCCGGTTAGAAGGTTAAGGGAGTGAGGACTTCTGGCATCGAGGTTCCTGGAGGTCAGCAGGAGGATCAAAACGAACCATTTTTTTGAGACGGTGAGATGATCTTTTGTCGGCACAGTTTAAATTAAATTTCAAAAACTAAATCACAAAACAACAGGTTGTTTACAGATTTAAAGATTACTAGAAATCAAATACTGGAAAATTTGTTCAAACAAAGTCCTCTTCTTCTCCATTAAAATTATAATCTAGCAAGAAACTAACTAAATTAAAGATTAATGGCTTAATCATTTTAATGCACTAAAATTAGTATAATACTAAAGATTATGCATATGAAATAACTGATAATTTTCCTTTTTGGGGAGCAGAAAAGCAGTTCAGGTTTTTGTTCCACCTGTGAACCAAAAGACCTCGCATAGGAACGTGAGGCTCTCTTCTGTGGCTCATTCTTCCCCGTAACCTGTTTTCAAAACAAAGCAGGAGTTAAATGTGTTAAAGATAATGCACAGCTGTTTAAATTGGTAATAAAGGGGATTGATATAAGGTTCAAATATCACAACAAATAAAGTTTAATGAGACAGATTTTAAAAATTAAATCAAATGAACAGATTATGCTTGTTTAACAATAATTGGGCATTTCTTCAAATAATCAAGGACCTGTGTCATTATTTAAATGCTAAATGCTAAAGTTTAATTTGTTAACCTTAATTCTGTAAGATTTAGATTAAACTTTAAGGGTAAATAAATCTATATGTGTGTAGCACAAATAGCTTGTATAAAAATAAATTAGGCTGGTTGAATTTGCTTTTAAATTATTTACAATTCTTTAAGAAGTAAATCTATCTTAAGCTGATCTGGAATAAATATGCAAATTTATTTAACATAATTATTGGTTAATAATTAGACGGTGTTCAAATGACTCAATTGGAAATAATGATGATAATAACATTATTTAATAATAACAATAATGATAACATTAATAATAATGATTACAATGATAGAGGATATAAATAACAGGATTTTATTCCTACATTAAGATGAATGGTGGAGACTTTAAAATGATCTATTCTCAATGGATCCATAGCTCAGATATATCTGGAGGTTAAAATTGACTGAAAATGTATGGTTTTTCTTCAACAGAACATATTTTATTTGTTCTGATGAAGAAAAGGGTGGAAAGAAGATAAAACAAGAAAAACAGCAAAGCTAAACTAATAAGGATCCATATAGATACTGTTTATTTTTCCATCTGGAACAGTCCATGTGGAATTTTGGTTGATAATTCAGAGCAGAATAAATAAACAACCTAAAGAAACGACTGCTAGACTGCTGGATGAAGTTTAAACACCTCAGCCTGACTGTCTGATGTGCGTTTGGGAAAAAACAGCTTTGTTGATGTTTGTTGATGGTTCAGCTTCTTGCACCCCTGGTTTGGTGTTTCTTCACCTCATGAAACTCTTGTTTCTGGTTCTTTGATTTTGCTTCGCCTTGTAAACATCGTTCTTGAAATCGGATGGAAAGCCTATATTCTTCTTCCACACACATCATGTCTGGTGGAAGCAACAGAGAAGGCTGTGCTTGTTTACATTGCTGCAGCCCACTGACACACACAGTCCTCTGCTGAGGAGAAGTTTGTTTGGATTTCTGCAGGTGCAGAAGTGATAAGTGGTACGAATACTAAGGAAGTACATTTACTGGGTAAGTTTGAAATTATGGAATAATTCAATGATTTGTGACAAAGTTTAAAGTTCAAATTTTAATCTAAAGTTCTTTAAGCTACATGAAATTATTTTGATCTACTATTGTTTGTGAAAGGGTAAGATAACATCTGATCTTTCCTTCCCTCAGCTCCTTTAATTCAGCATGTTGGTAACTTTGACTCCCAGTTTTCCTCCCCATGAGCTCATGACGGGTCGACCCGTTCCTGGACCACAGAACGGGCCAGACCTCTGACCTCTGGCCAGACTGGGACTGACATGTGACACATTAAAATGACCTACAAGACCTTTTTTTCCCCTTAGTCAGAGAAGGCTTTACAGAGGGACCAAGGTGCCTGGAGACCCTAATGCAGGACCATCACAGCCATCCTTCAGCAGGAAGAGGTGTGGCTGAGAGTCAATAAAAAAAAGTGATCAGAGCTCATCTGGAAGGAACCAGGAAAAGCTTTAACAATCAGAATAAAGGGGCAGAATAATCCCCTCTGATTGGTTAATTAACACATCAGTAGTCCACCTGATGTGTTGAGGACCAGCTGTTCTGTAGACAACGTTCAAAATGTCCCATAAGGGACCAACATCAACAGAAAGATGAAGACGCCCACCTGAAGATGTCTGACATCAGCTTTGGCTTTTTGATTTTTTAATCATACAACATGAATGAGAAGGGAAATGTGTTGTGATGTGTTGCATTTTAATCAAAGATTAACATTTTTAGTGTCTAAGTCAGGGGTGGGCAAACGTTTTGACTTGCGGGCCAGAATGGGTTCTAAAATTTGACAGAAGGGCCGGGCCAGGAGCATTTGGACAAGCAATGTCATTAATTAAACCTGGGGATTGAAATGTATAAAAAACAGGCAATTTTCACCACCATAAGGCGCACCGTACTAAAAGGCGCAGTCTCAGTTATGTGTCCCATTTCTGTATTTAACACACACATAAGGCGCACCGGACTATAGGGTTTTCTTATATACAGGTACATGTCCTCTACTACCTTTAAATACCTCTACTGCGTATTTAAAAATAGAGTGGGAGCAAAACTGAGTATGACTGTGCTTTATTCATTTATTTATTACAAAGTATTAATCAAACCTGGGAGCTGGCCGTGATACAGACACAGCGCTGTGATCACTCCTAAATTAACTTAAAATCCTGAAACCTGCCAACGGAATATGTTCGCTTTTATTGCCGGTATCCTGGTGCCTGCAGTTTAAATTATTTAGATGAGAAACACCTGCCAGCCGCCACGGTGAACCCGGAGGCTGCCCAGCCTAGAGGCTGCTGATGAAGGAATTTCTACTGTCGGCGCACCGCTGGTATGAGGGGGTCTGAGCGCCTCCGACAGAAATAGATAATCTGGATGAACTGACTGCAATTATTAAGTTTTCAGGTAGAAAAATAGAGCGGGAGCAAAACTGAGTATGATTGTGCTTTATTCATGTATTTATTACAAAGTATTAATCAAACCCATCAAAGTCATCATCCTCTGTTTCTGAATTAAAGGAATAGTACACCCAAAACATGATTAGCCTTCATTTTCTACTCACCCCCATGCTGAACAACACTCTGGAGTACTTTTTTGATATCTCAAATGCATCTGGAGATCTGGGAGGCTTCTTGCTGTCTGCTGACATTCAAATAATGGAGGTCTATGGCGCCCGAGACAGAAAGGTCCACAAAAGTCCACAAAAACGTGTCAATATTCCTCCATACTGCTCGTCCAATGTATTCCAAGTGTCCTGAGTGGGTAGCATCCATAATTTACTCGAAACGAAGTCATTTAGAACGTTTTAGAGCCTAAACAGTAGTGTATAGGATTTCCTAATAGCGCCCCCATGCGCGCTCTCGATTCTACGGAAGCCGGCAGACCAAACCGGAAGAAAGTGCGCATTCAGCGTCTGCTCTGCCGATAATGCAAGCGTAGAAGAAGAAATGTGCTGTTTACCTGTGCAAAGAAAGAAACAACGAAAGAAAAATGTCTGAGGACTTCAGTGTTGAGGAAGAGCATGAGTTCTTTGCCGAGCTGAATGCGCTGGTTTGGTCTGCCGGAGTTTTGTTCAGCATGGGGGTGAGTAGAAAATGAAGGCTAATCATGTTTTGGGTGTACTATTCCTTTAAACAGCTGCGCTAAATCAGACATGCCAGTTTCCCATTCTTTGCTGTCAGAGTCACTTTCCGTGCCGTGCAGCTCCTCAGAAATAATGCCGGCTTTTGCGAAAGCTTGAACAACAGAGCCAGCAGACACGTTAGTCCAAGCATCAACAATCCATCCGCAAACGGTGGCATAACTTGCGCGGCGCTGCATTCCACTTATCGTGAAACTGTGGTCTCCGTCGGTCATCCATCGCTCCCACGCCGCTCGCAGCCTTACTTTGAACGGCCGGTTCACACCGATGTCGAGCGGTTGAAGTTTCTTTGTCAGACCCCCCGGGATAACGGCGAGCACAGCGTTCATTCAGTCACAGATTAACAGCGATGGTGATGCGTGGAAAAAACTACCTGGTCTCCTCACATTCACCTGCCTCAGCCACGCTTTCATCATCTCCTCATCCATCCAGCCTTTTTTCATTTGCCGTGATATCATTTGTCATCAGAGCGCTGTGTCTGTCTCGCTGTCAGCTCGCAGATCAGCTTCTCTGATTGGTTGATGCGGCGCGTCCAGCAGCAAAACTTCAATTTTTCCATCTCGAGCAGCAGCAGCGCGTTGGCAGATGCTTAAACGCTCCCGACGCGCTGCACCTGCTGCTCAAAACGCGCTGCGGGACCTTTTGCTGCGCCTATACGCGCGTCAACCATTGACTTTGCATGTAAACTCGCCGCTTCTGCTTCGCCTGCTGCGTCCGGTTCACACCGATGTCAAGCGGTTGAATAACAGCGAGCACAGCATTCATTTGCTGATGAAGGTTCTCATTCATTCATTTGTTTCACCATGTTTTTCACATCAGCTGTGAGATGAGCACGCATGGAGTCACGGATTACCAGCGATGGTGATGAGTGGAAAAAAACACCTGGTCTCCTTACATTCACCTCCCTCAGCCACGCTTTCATCATCTCCTCAATGAGGAGATGAGGAGTTCTGCATGGTGCATGGTGGTCTCAAAAGTCGCAGTTACAACACACATAGGGCGCACCGCACATTTTGAGAAAAAAAAAAAAAAAAAAGACGTTTATGTGCGCCTTACAGTCGTAAAAATAGGGTAATTTGGACAAGTTCGGCGGGCCGGATTAAAAAGCCTAACGGGCCGTATACAGCCCGGGGGCCGTAGTTTGCCCATGTCTGGTCTAAGTGTTTGATATTACTTTTCTTGATAATAAAAGAAAGTCCAAGTGTTCAAGTGTTAGATGACCATAATGGCTGATGGTCAGTATTGGCAGAGATTTCTGGATCAGAGAATGAACTCTGATGATCGGGTCATCTCAGCTACCATTGGGAAAGAGGAGCGCTGAGATTAAATCCTCCAACTTTCCAATATGTGCTTTGACTGAGCCTGATTCTGAAGAGCTGAACTCGTCATTTGAAACGTGAAACAACTTTGTGTTATGATTTTAACATTTTGCATAGAGATTGATCCTTTTTTACTTTTAATTAAATTCAGATTAATAATTTGACTTACAGTTTGTAGAGATGAAGGGGTCTATTGTTTTGACTGATTTGAACATTTCTCTTTCCAGGGAAACAAAAAGGGTAATTGATAATGATAAGAACTAAAAATTTAAATTTTCAGATCATAATGGAAAAAAACAGTAAATATTTTTGCCAACAAAGATGTGATTCCAGGGCTCTATTTATTGGCAACATATTTTAGCTATCATAATCTTTTCCATAATTTTTCCATCTATTATAATCATTTAATTTGTCCACCGACTTAATGCAGTTGTGGATTTTTGATTCATTATTTTTTAATTATCATTTTTCTTCTTATTATTATTTTTTTTATTATATTTTTAGTGTCATATATTTTAGCTTTCTTTACATATACTCACAATTTTAGTTTATTAGTTTTTATATTCATAAATTTTCCTTTTTTTTAATATTGATTACACAAGGATAATATCCTTTTATAATCGAAAGGGTGGACTGTTGTGGGAAAATGTATTTCTTTCTCTAATTATATATTAATATTCATATTTACTCACTATAAAAGTTTTCACTCAGTCTGTTTCTCTCTCAAGGCCACACCATTCCCTGCAGAATGTTGTTTGTAGACCAGACATAGCTTCTTCCCATAACAATCCAGATTCTTTCTCAAGGTTTATTCATAACATGTTACTGTTAAGCAAAGTGTGTGTAATTTGTTATGACTCTGACTGCTTTCCATTGTTGTAACTAGGGGGGACGAACGCTGCCCAGATCAGAACAGAGCAGAATGCTGTGCCATGATGACTGTTCTCTCTTTGCAAAGATTGTTAATAAATGTGCCGACTGAGTGAAATCCATCGATCTCCGTTTATTTAACTAGGATGAATAGTTGAATACTTTTTTCTCACTTCAAAATCATAATGAAAGCACAATGTTGCTAGCATAGCTGCAATGCTGATTTTGAGATGATAAAAATCAGGTTGCAGAACGTTATTTCTCTATCTATGATGTTAGTTAGGCCTGACGTCTCAGACTCATGAAGACATATTTGCGGTCAACTATGACAGAAAAGAGACGATCAAGTTTGGTTGCACTCAAATCAAAACGCACAAAGGCATTGGATCTAAATAAAGTTGTGAAGCGTTTTGCTGAGCAAGATGGAAATCACTGCATTCAGCTGTTATAGTCATGTTAACTTTATATTATGGTGAGCCTTTACAGAGCTGTTACATTTTGTTTTGGCACCTGAGAAAATCTGATATTTCCTTTAATAAAACCAAAAGTGTTAAAAGTTAAAAATGTGATACTGGTGTGAATCCTGCTTAATATGAAGCAGTGTTGTTGTTTCTTTTTTTGTATATATAATATGAAACTATCCAGAAATGACCTGTATGAACCTACTCACAAGCAAGATGTATTTTTATGTTGCTTCTTTTCAGATTAGTGGAGATTTTGATGTAACATACAGAACCCGCCTTTTTGTTGATTTGTTGATACAGCAGTATGGAGGACCAACTCTGCCATATTTAAAAATAAATACAGAAATAAATAAATGCTTAATAAATAAATAAGCATACAATTAATTGCCACCAAAAATACAAACAACAAATAAATGTAAGTAGAAATTAAATTATACAGCTAGTCATAAAGGTATATAACTCTTTTAATTGGCTTCTTTATTTCTTTGCCTTTTTAATATTTACCTTATTTATTTTTTTGTCATTTATTATATTCAACTTCATTTTTTAATTACTTATATTTTGAAGTATTTATTTATGTGCATGTTATCGTATTTTTGTCTGTTTTATTCTTCCTTTGTATTTTTTTACCCTAGTTATTTCTTTCGCCGCTGTTTCTTTCTGCCTGCCATTATAATATAATTTCTAATTACATTTATTTGTTGATTGTATTTTTGGTGGCAATTAATTGTATGCTTATTTATTTATTGAGCATTTATTTATTTCTGTATTTATTTTTAAATATGGCAGAGTTGGTCCTCCATATACATCTCTATCTACAGCATATTATTTACATGCATGAAATGTCCCTTTCATTTTGCCTTAACTGCTGTATGTCAAGTTACTGAGGAACAAATGGGGTAAATGTGTGTTCAGAGTAAACATTACATAGATGTCCAGTACCTTGTTCGGGTGCCTTGACCCATTTATTTCTACTGTGTAGTTCTGCTCACTTTAGTCCAGCTCAGTCCATAGATCTCTGATGTGGAACTTTTTCTTTCTATAGTTTCTTCTTGTGCAAATGCTGCAAAGCTGCCTCTCTGACAGTCAATCTCACACATCTGCGACTCAGCACTCTTACCTTAATACCTTTCCTGTCATAAGGCCCCTCTAGAAGTAGAGTTATCATTCTTCTATCTCCTATTAAGTGAGATCACATTTTACGATGTATTATTAATATGAACTGTTTCACATGAAACACTAGTACTGTACATACTATTCTCTCCAAACTGTGATAACTGTGATTAAATTCAGTGTAAACAAATGCCATATGTTGCCACCCCTAAAAAATTCCTGCCCCCCTCTTGCCACCCCATAAATATTTTTCTAGATCCGCCCCTGGAGGCGACAGAGAACCCTAACCAGCAACAGACTGACACGCAGAAGGCTGCTGAAAACGTTGGCCGGCCAAACACCAAGGATGACACAGAAGGTGGTCGTCAGGAAGGACAGACAGAATGTAACCTGTGTGTGCTCAGGTGTGCAGAGATGAACCGTCTTTTGGAAGAAAACAGAGAGCTGCGGCGTGAACTTGATGAGCTGCAGATCTCTGATGGCTTCTTTGGAGACAGTAATGAAAAAGTCAAGTACTATACGGGTCTACCAAACTTGGCAACCTTTATGGCTTTGTTTAATTTTCTGCTGCCTCTCATGTCTGCTCAAAATAAAATTCTCAGTCCATTTCAAATGCTTCTGCTAACCTTCATGCGTCTGAGATTGGATCTGCCCTCACAACACCTTGCTTATCTCTTCCTTGTTTCACCAGACAGTGTACAGAACATTCAATGAAATGGTGTCATTTTTATATGCAAATCTAAAGTGTGCTATTGTGTGGCCAGATAGAGACACCTTGCACAAAATTATGCCTCATCAGTTTGTGGAGGCCTTTGGACATAGAGTCACAGTGATTATTGACTGTTTTGAAATTTTCACAGAGAAACCAGCTAATTTGAAGGCACGTGCCCAGATGTTTTCCTCCTACAAGCACAATCATACCATGAAGTATTTAATAGGCATAACACCCAAGGGAGCTATATGTTTCTTGTCAAAAGGGTGGGGTGGACGTACAAGTGACAAACATATCACCTTAAACAGTGGCTTTCTTAACATGTTGTTGCCTGGGGATATTGTGTTAGCTGACAGAGGTTTTGATATACAGGAAAATGCTGGCATGCTGTGTGGGGAGGTCAAGCTTCCAGCCTTCACAAAGGGGCGCTGTCAGCTGGATGCTAAGGATGTAGAAGAAACAAGGAAGGTTGCACATCTAAGAATTCATGTCGAAAGGGTGATTGGAAATGTTTGTCAGAAATACAAAATATTAACTGGAACCATACCCATAAACATGCTGTTGACATGTGAAGGCGAAGAAGTCACTTTTTTGGACAAGATTGTCACTGTCTGTTGTGCCCTTACAAATCATTGCCCTACTGTAGTGTAAAAATGAAAGCCAGATCAAGTACTGTTTCAACTTTATTCTTCTTTTCACACAAATAGAATTTTGCTTTTTAAAAAGTTAACTTTTTTTTTTTACTTTTGAGAAATAACAGCAAAAAAATGTGGGTTTCACCATCACTTCAAATATTAACAATGTTTCTGAAGTTGTAAAAATGTGTGTACAATAAAGAGTGGAGTTTGAAATTTGAAACAAGCGTTTTTATTTTCTTCTCAATGAAGCAGAGAATTTATGAAAATGCAACACAAAATCTCAAATACATAGATAATGTCAGCGAAAACAGGCCTGGGTAAAGTGAACAGCAAATACAGTGTGCAACTTATCAATGTGCAAAAATGATCAAATTGTTTTATTAGTTTTTCATATTAAAGCAACAAACACCCCATCCAGGGCTTACAAAACAAAACAAAACAAAAAGACTCCATAATTACATCACAACGACATCACAAACAAAAAAAAAGAGAAAAAAATAAAAAAATAAAAAAAACTATCAACAAGACAATTACTACACCCGCACATATAACCCATATTCCAGACATCCATGGGTTGGAAACCAAAAACATTAGTATGAATAACAATCATAATAATAATAATTCCACCAAAAAAAATTTAAAAATGCTGAGTATGCTGAAGCAGATTGAACCTCGGATTCAAAATAGGAAATAAAAGGTTGCCAAATCTGGAAGTATCTCTTAATGGTACCCTGTGACGTAAATCGAAGATGTTCCAGCTTTAGGTGTGCCATTACCTCCTCTATCCATCGTTTATATGTCGGTGGTGCTGCCTTTACCCAATTAAATAAAATCAATCTCCTGGCCGACTGCGAAGAAAATGCCATTGCCTTCTGTTGAGCTGTCGTTAATTCTATCCCCCCCGGTGCCACACCAAAAATGGCTACCAGAGGGACCGGTTTATTTTCTTTCCTGAAGACAGATGAGAAAGTTTTAAAGATTTCAATCCAGAATTCTTTGAGTTTGGGGCAGGACCAAAACATATGGGATGTGTTGGCTGGCACCTGTTTGCATCTCGGGCAAGTCGGATCGGCTCCCTGAAACATTCTTGCGAGTTTGTCTCTGGTGAAATGAAGCCTATGTACCAATTTAAATTGTGTTAATCCATGTCTAACACACACTGATGAAGAATGAATGTATTCTACCGCCCACCTCCATTCATTATTTGTGATGTTTAGCCCTAGTTCTTCTTCCCATTTTCTTTTTATATGGTCGAGGGATGGGGAAGTCATCCTTTGAATATTAGTGTAGAGCATAGAAATTGTCCACTTAATAGTCGGATTCATATCTAATAATTCATCTATCCACTCACTCTGCGATGATTCTAAAGATGAAAGGAATGTCTTTTTTACAAAGTCTCGAATCTGAAAATATCTGAAGTAATTGGTTTTTAAGGGGATTCCATATTCTTTTTCTAACTGAGCCGCAGACATAAGTATTCCATCCTTAAACAGATTTTTGACAGCTTTCACCCCAGCTCTATGCCATTCTTTAAATGCTGTTCTTCCTAAAGCTGGAGAGAATAGGTGATTATTGTAAACAGGAGCAGATAGGAGTGCATTTCTGTTTCTAAAATGGGATCTGAATTGGACCCAGATTTTTATAGAATTTCTTACCACAGGGTTATTTGTATAAAAGTGCTTACTTAAGGGCAGAGGTGCAAACATCAGGGAATTCAGAGATATTGGGCTAGATGCATACCTTTCCATATGCACCCATATTGGAGTTTCCTCTTCATCTAGCTGTGAGACCCAAAACAACAGTTTATGTAAATTAGCTGCCCAGTAGTAATGCATATAATTTGGTAGAGCTAGGCCCCCCTCCTCTCTCTGTCTCTCCAAAAACTGTCTTCTAATCCGGGGGACTGTTTTGTTCCATATAAAGCTGGATGTACATTTATTTAATTCTTTAAAAAAAGATTTTGGAATGAAAATTGGTATTGTCTGAAATAAAAACAGGAACCTTGGCATTATGATCATCTTGACAGAATTTATCTTACCTGCTAATGAAATTGGGAGGGTGGACCATCTTTCCATATCTGATTTAGCCTTATCTGCTGTTACTATAAAATTTTGCTTAAATATATCTTTATATTTGCTTGTTACCGTAACCCCTAGATATTGGAATTTGTCTTTCTTTGTTGTAAAAGGATAGGCCTGGAATGATAATTTCCTCGCCTGTTCATTAATTGTAAACAAAATGCTTTTGTCTATATTAATTTTATAACCTGAAACCCCCCCCCCAAAGTCTTCAACAATACCTAGAGCCACCGGAATGCTTGTGGCAGGATTTGACAGAAAAAGAAGCAGATCGTCAGCGTACAGCGAGAGTTTATGGTTTTGTATCCCTCTGTGTATTCCGCCGAGCTCAGCAGCATTTCTCAGCTTTATTGCCAGGGGCTCGATTGCCAGATCAAAGAGCAGGGGCGACAAAGGACACCCTTGTCTTGTTCCGCGAAACAGAGGGAATGGGTCAGATATTATACTATTCGTTCTTACCATAGCTTGAGGATTTGCATATAGTAATTCAACCCATGTGCGAAATTTTGGACCAAATCCAAATCTCTCCAGGATCATAAATAAATAAGGATACTCTATTCTGTCAAAAGCTTTATGGGCATCCAAGGATATTACAATTTCGGGATCGATGTTACCTTCCCCAGTGTATATCACGTTGAAGAGTCGACGGAGATTACTAGAAAGTTGTCTACCAGCAACAAATCCTGTCTGGTCGGGATGTATTATCTTACCTAACAGGCTCAATCCTCGCTGCTAGTACTTTAGTCAATATCTTATAATCACATCCTAGTAGACTCACTGGGTGATATGATTCACATTTAAATGGATCTTTATTTTTCTTAAGAATGACTGAGATCATAGCCTGTGACATTATTTGGGGTAAGGTTTTTTTTTCGAGGACTTCCTGATATACTTGTACGAGCAGGGGTATCAATTTAGAGGCAAATGTTTTATAAAATTCACTCGGAAACCCATCCGGGCCTGGTGCCTTGCCTGTCTTCATGTTATTAATCACTTTCTCTATCTCTGTTGCAGTCAGGGGTCCCTCTAATCTCTCTTTATCTATCGTTTGTAAGGTTGGCATTTCCATATTTTCTAAAAACATTTTTACTTTCTCCTTATCATTTATTTCAGAGGTATAGAGATCCTTATAAAAAGACTTAAATTGGTTGTTGATACCTTTCTGATCTATAATCTTATTCCCCAGGTTATCCTCTATCTCCACTATCATACCAGCAGCTGCTGACTGTTTTAGCTGGTGGCTGAGGAGCTTCCCTGCACGATCCCCATATTCATAATAGTTCTGTACACAGAACTAATGTGCAAAAATTATGACAAGTGTTTTCGTTTGGTCTGATGAGCAGCACAAACTACTCTAATAACTGCAGCTATCTGTGCAACTGATAGCAGCATCTGCCTTGTCCCTGACTTATGACGATCTTAGACTTTTTTCTTTTTTTCTACTGTTTGTTGTTGTATCTGTGGTTTGACATGTTTTCACCTGAGTTCCTCCAGGTGCAGCAATCTCTTGAAGAATCTCCTGTCTTCTAACCAGAGTGAAATATTACTCACAAGTTCTGGAAGGCACACGCAGTTAAAAAATTGCTGCGCCTTTTTAAGGAGAGCACACCAGAGCTGTGCATCTGGCAAAATACGCACCACAGCACATTCCTTCTGTGTCCACAAAACAAAGTCACAGTATTTTGAGTGTGTAACAAATATTTGGGTCTGAGCTTGTGTGTAATATGGATGATGCTTTTTAAGCTGCAGCTTTCCATCCAGTTTTTCCAAACAGAAGTACTTGTCGCCACTGTTGCATGCCTCCTCGATGGTACTGTTTCGGTATTTCTATGGACATTTTATTTCAATGCAACCTCTTCCACAGCAGGTGCACTGCACTATTCCATCGGGTGATGCTCCAACCTCTGGAAAATGAGGATTAACAATGAAGCCACACCGTCTCAGCTCAAAATCACTGTGGTGTTTTTCCCTCTGCAGTCTGTACTGTCTTCTTCCGTTCTCCTCATTTTGAAGTCCCCATGTTGTGGCAGCATAGCGGCCTGCTCTGTTGCTGTTGTTCAGATGGCAAACTGCTTTTATGGTTGTGAGTGCAGGCTTTTCCAAATCAGAAACATACACAGAATGCATGTTTGATGCTATTATCCGCCCTACACGGAAGTGATGCCAAGCTGAAGAATTTTGCTGCTTTCTTGTGTTCTTTTCAATGTAGTGTGCTTGCTCTGGTGTAACTGCAGCCTTGTCTGCTAAGGTTTTGCAATGTAGAAGCAAAGTAGACAGTTCAGTATTTTGAAATTTCTCATCCCGTAGTTGGCAGAGTGACTTTGGTGCAAAGAATGGCTGCAGAGGATCAACAAATGCATCATAATATTCAGGATAAGTACAAAGAACTGCAGCTTTTGGCGATATGTTGTGTATTCCAGCCAGGTCGGAGGTCCACTGATCCTCTGTGGCAATGCCATGTGGGCAGGTGCTTGAGGATGCCCTTGGTCTTGGCATGCTTGTTCCTTCACCATCCAGGATTTTATTCAAGGACTTTCGTTTGGAGTTCGGAGTGAAGTCTATTCTGTGCCCTGCTTCTGCTCCCACCTTAGAAATGTTGCTGGGTATCATCCAGTAAGCAGGTTGGCCAGTCACTGTAACTGTCTCTCTGCATCTGATGACAGCCTCCAGCTTGAACAGCATAGCTGCAACATGTGTGCATGTCTCTGCGATTCCAGCCATACATGTACAGTGACCTGATAGTATGGTCCCTGTTGGTTCAATGATGGCCCAGGGTTTCAGTGGGGTATCATTAAGACGTTGGGAATGAAGGACCTGTAAGATGAGATTTAAGAAAAAAAAAATTTGTAATCTGAAAAAATTGGTAGGCTTGAGACATTTACTGTACTGTAATAATTTGTTAATATGATTAATTGTTTCAGCCCTAGATAAAATACATGAAATTAGCTACACAGAGTAACTACAGCCCAGATGTACAACTTCTAATATTAATATTTTAAATGCTCAGTGTCAGTTCCTCTTATAGTTCCAGTGCACATGTAATTATAATACATTTATTTTCCGTCCTTTGAATGTATTATTTTTCATGATCCAGAGAGAGCATATTAGAAAAAAAATAAGAGTGGGTTTTACCTCTGCACAATTCTATATCTTAAGAAGAAAACACAGGATAAATCCACATATTACAGACATATTTAGACTATTTGTTTAAATAGACACTGTCCTAGTCGCAGGTAAATTTAAATGATATCCTTTTCAAAGTGGAAAAAGTCCTAATTCCACATTCATCAGAGCCAGTGATGCTTTAAGTCTTGATGAACAGCATCTAGTGCATCTAGTGCTTATAAGATTTGTATTAATGTAGCAAGACATGCTGCTGTTCTTTTTAAACAAAATGAGCCCTGAAGCTCACATTAAGCATAAAAAAAGAGCCTGCATATTTTGCAAAGGACCAATGAAACTGAAGAATAGTGTCCCTACCAAAGTTGAAATCAAACCTACGCCCTTGGATTCACAGTTCATGCAACTTAACTCATTTACAGCTTTCTTACCTTGGTTGTGACAATCATGTTTGTACATTCATCTGGTTGAAATGACAAGAGATCCTGCACCCAGCCATTGGAAAAGTGCCCATGGGCTTCAAGGGATTTGTAGTTCCGAAATTCTGAAAAAGTGTAAGCGCTTATCCCATACACAAGGTAGTTGGTAATATCCAGAGAGGTAGTTGGAGGTAGGAGTTCTGCGTCAGACTGCCAACTATTAGCTCTCACTTGGTATGGATCAATGTTGTTTACGGAGGCTAACTTGGCATAATTTCGTTCCCTAGCAGCTTTTGTAAGTTTGTCTGGGTAGGGTATCCATTCAGTTTTCTTGTTCTTTTCCATTTCAGTGATAATGCAGCGCTCTCCTCTCGTTTTCTGTTGTTTTGTTTTTCTTCCGCTCACCACAAAAATGGCGCTAGGGGGCGTGTCTGTCACGTGACTGACAAAGACCGATAGCTGGCCTGTCATTGTTTCTGGGTGGTTGTTGTTGGTGGTGTATCTTCAGTCTGGAACAGAAATTAATACAATGTCAGGATAGATGCACAGCATAACAGGAATTCCAAGTGTATAAGTAGCATATAGGTCTGTTTTTTTACTTAAAAACTAAGTCTCTGTAAAAACTACATTTGACAATCCATTTCAAACTCATACAAACAACCTAACTATCATTTTATGCAGGAATAAATTGCAGACAATTTTATGTGTGCATGTATTTTGGTTGTATTAATATTGATGCCAATTCAAATCAAATGTCCTTGTAATAGCAATGTGCAGATAAACAGAGCAGCATTTTATGTCACCAAATAAAGACATTGGGAGTTTGCATCCCTGCAGTGGTTTCCCTAGCAATGTTGTGTATGAAAATCTAGGTTAAAGTTGTTCTGAATTATGTGTGGCATATTATTTTTATTTTGTCTTCTCCTGATAAATTGTTTCAGTTCGTTTTAGCATTTAGCATACATGTGTAGCTACCAAGGTGTTTTGTGTTAGCTATAGTTCACTTGCAGCTCCTAGATTACCTAAAACGTCTGTCTGCTTTAATCAAACTTGCAATTTAACTGAATCTATAGTTGCCCGGCCAGTATAACATATCTAAGTTAGCATAAATTTAACTTCACATACAATTCTAACAACAAGTGGCTACGGTCGCTACGTGCTAACAAGCTAACGTAACGTAGCCAGCCTGGATACTAAATGCTATGAAAGTTAGCCAACATCAGTTAGTTTATCATTGGGACATTATAGCCGTTGATTTAATGTTACATTATAAACAATCACCACAGTAGATCAGTAATATACCTTATGTCAAAAATGATTGATGGCTTATGACTTATGACCTATGAGCTAAGGTCAAAAATGATCGATAACATATGACGTATATGACATGACCATATGACTTATGAATTATGAACTCTATGACCCGCACCTGATCAAAAGAATTTCTTATAACCCTTTTATGACCCTTAAATTTCTGCACAGTCACGCACCAGCACATTTTTGCTTCATCAATCAAATTCTTGAATATAAACATTGTTTTCTTCCCGATCAAAAAGATATGCCAGCTTCTTTTGCAGGGTAATAAAAAAGACAGTCCCCACACAAGGAATTTCCCTCCCACCACCCATCCCATCAGACACCCCCATACACACATACACAAGAACTATGTCCCACACCTGAACAAAGGATTTTCTTATGACCCACAAACTTCTGCACAGTCACGCATCATCACATTTTTGCTTCATCAATCAAATTCTTGAATATAAACATTGTTTTCTTCCCAATCAAAGTCAGTCCCCACACAAGGAATTTACCACCCATCCCATCAGACACTCACACACACCCACACACACAGACCCCAGTCTCTTCCCTCATAAGACATCAACTACACATTTTCCTAAAATTATGCTTAAAAAATGTGTTTAAACTATTCCATTTCCACTATCAAAGCTTATTTTATTTTAAATACAGATGTCCTTTCAGCAAGCCTCTGTTTTACTTTCCTAAACGGATTTACTCTCACAGATCAAGCTTTCTTTTGTGTAAAGACCATTGTTTAATTCACCATTAAAGTCTGTGTTACTCGCAAAATCACAAACACACAAACACAACTTGAATTGCTAACAAGTTTTCTTTCTTTAATTAATCCAACTAACTTTTCTATCCACATAAGCTAACAAATCTTATTTTATTTTCAATACAGATGTCCTTTCAGCAAGCCTCTGTTTTACTTTCCTAAACGGATTTACTCTCACAGATCAAGCTTTCTTTTGTGTAAAGACCATTGTTTAATTCACCATTAAAGTCTGTGATCCAAGGTTTTATAAATCACTGCTATGTTCATAATATTTGTTAG